TATGGCTAAAAACACAAATCCACAGGCATTAGATTTCTAAGAGGAGAAAACGATACATATCTTGCTAAATGCCAGACTTAGAAAAGATGAAAACAAACCAACTAAAAACAACAAAAAATCCAGAAAAATCCAGATAACTGAAACATGCATTTTTTTTAACATCTTTATTAGAGTGTAATTGCTTTACAGTGTTGTGTTTGTTTCTGCTGTATAAAAAAGTGAATCAGCTATATGTATACGTATATCCCCATATCCCCTCCCTCTTGTGTCTCCCTCCCACCCTCCCTATCCCACCCCTCCAGGCGGTCGCAAAGCACCGAGCGGATCTCCCTGTGCTATGCGGCGGCTTCCCACTAGCTATCTATTTTACATTTGGTAGCGTATATATGTCCACGCCACTCTCTCACCTCGTCCCAGCTTACCCTTCCCCCTCCCCTTGTCCTTAAGTCCATTCTCTAGGTCTGTGTCTTTATTCCTGTCTTGCCCCTAGGTTCATCAGAAACATTTTTTTTAGATTCCATATATATGAAACATGGATTTTTATTATTCACTGCTTTTAAAGAAATGGCTAACATCTAACATGGCTATCAGCCGTTGTAAAATTTTAAACATCCAATCAAAATTATCTTTTTCTCTCTATAGTGGCTATGAATGTATAGCTTGTAGAATTAACATTATTGAGGTAGAAAAAAAATGAGAACCCAAAGTAGATGAAGACGAAATATGTCTGTACCATTATTCATGGTCTAGAACCTCAGTGTTTGATTTTGGTTCATCAAATATTTTTCATCACATTATTTTGGTGTAATTTCTTTACAATGCTTTCTAAAATCTCTAATTTACTAAGTTATAATTTATTTGTTTTTAACATCTTTATTGGAGTATAATTGCTTTACAATGGTATGTTAGTTGCTGCTGTATAACAAAGTGAATCAGCTATATGCTTACGTATATCCCCATATCTCCTCCCTCTTGCGTCTCCCTCCCACCCTCCCTATCCCACCCCTCTAGGTGGTCACAAAGCACCGAGCTGATCTCCCTGTGCTATGCAGCAGCTTCCCACTAGCTATCTATTATACTTTAGAAATCTTTCTCAGTGGAAAGATTAATAGAAGAAAATTCAGGATACTGCCCCCCTGCCCCCACCCAAAAAAAAAAAAAAAACTTGTAGGTTTACTGCTCAGATTCTAGTCAACAGCTGTTGCTGGGTTTTCTTTTTACTTTTATCAAGATATATATAAAATTGTCTTTTGAATGTTTAGTTTGAAAGTTACCAATTTTGTGAATCTTGATTTCAGACAAGTCAGAAGCACCAGAATAAACAGACAGTCTCAATTAACTATCACTTGCAAAGCACAGTCTAGTGAAAAATATTTCAGACCATATTCTTTAATTGGGGACATAAAATAATAAATGGTACCCTCCAACATAGATAAAAATTCAGAAATAAATTATAACTATGGACTAAAACATAATATTAAAAGAAAAGAAAGTCTTTTTGTGAGCACCCAGATAATTCCTCCTCTGTATATAGTGACACAGAAGCATTTTCAGCTTTCAGGTTTTGACAAATCCTGTTGTAACCACAGCTCCCTCCCTCCCCCGCCTCTCTTTTCTGAATTCTCCCCCAGCTCAAAAAATGAGATGGGGAACCCGGTATTTATCTCCTGGCACCACCAGCAGTTCTCCCTGCTCGGATTTCTACGTTGCTCTTCATTTGCTACTTGCAAGTTAACCTATTGGAGCTTCATCGCTAATATTCAGAAGCTGTGAACTGAGCCTCAGGTATGTGGCTCCTCTTCATCATGTCTTACTGGGGTTCATTTGAAGACAACTGACAGAAGAGAGTTAAGTCACTGAAGGCTACTGACAAAAGGTATGGAAAACGAGAAGCTTCCACAATGCTTCGGGACCTAAATATAGATCTTCAAGTATAACTCGGTTTGAACTGTACCTTGTAAATCTGTTTTTAAATACTAGATTTGATATAAATAAATCCTGTCTGGAAAACTGACTTTACATTTTAACAAAATCCAGTTCAGAATTTCTTTGGGAAATAGCTCATAAACTTAACATTATAGGTTCTGTTCTATATGCAACAGATTTTAGAACCACGAGAGAGTTCTCATTTAGAACTGTTTTCCATGCTTACTTTCACAGCATTTCACCACCATCACCACCACCGCTGAAACAAAGTATGCCTTTATTCTCTACGAGACAGAAATCTGAGAGAACAGGCCACAAACTGTACCATGCTTGTGGCTGGAGGGGGGAAAAAAAAAGATTTCACAGCAATATAGCTAAGATGCCAGTATATTTTTATAAAGGGAAAAGAGTGACCTTCATTTTGGAGAACAAATTCTTTCTGCATAAGTTCTCCATGCAGAAAAAAGCACTCAAAGTCCACTATTCAACAGTAAGTGAGCACCATGCTAACTGAATGCAGTGTCACATTGTTTACGCTGATTTGGGCCATCTGTAATTTATCACTGCCAGCACTTGTTAATTAAGATGAACAAGCTGTCTCCAAGTCTGAATTACACTGGAATTTATAAAATGTATTGGTTAATGGGAAGAAAAGAGTTATAATTGGGAAGCTGAGCAGAGACTGATCAACACATAGCAGTTACTCAAGCAAAGTAAAAAGAAAGAAAGGAGATGCTCGCAGGGAATGCTTACAGCAGTCTCGCTCTTGAAGAACCCCTTAAGCCGAAAATGGTCCGGGAAGGCAGTAATTGAGTGAGCTGGCTGGAGTCTGAAATGTTAAAACCCAGACCTGAAAACAGCTATTATGAAACTATAAACATGTGCTTCATTTTTTTTTTCTCTAGAAACTTTAACTTTCGTTCTATTTTGGTCTCAGATATGAAAAGAAATTTGGAAAACAGAAAAAGAATGAACTGGAGGATGACAAGCAAAGCCAAGGCACTTTGATGCTTAGAGTGAAACTGACTCTAAGAATTCAAAATCTCAGGGAAATCTCCTGAAACTACAGAATTTACATTTTAAGATTATGAACAAAAATAGAACAATGGAATTCAGATAGCCCAGGATTTAACCTCTTAGGGAATCAATGTTTTAACTATATTAAACTATACAACTGTATTAAAAGTAACACAGGCATGGATTCACATTGCTGCAGATATTTCACAAAAGCCAGGCATCAACCTCCTTGGTGAGTCTCTGAAGCTACGCCACTTGCTCATTTGCTCTATTAATTCCCTCTGGAGTCTTTTTTTCTGTGTGAGAAAGGGAGTGAGTGAGGGGATGGTTAACGGTGCTTTGTCTCTAGATGTAGCATTCTCCCTGCTTCCAACAGGAAGTACACAGGAGGATTTCACCGGAATTACTGTGGTAAAGGGGGACAAGGGTGCAAGGTGCAGTGAAGTGGGAAGAGGTGGGGAAGTGGGCACTGCCAATCTTGCCGCTGAGGTCTGTGTGGCGTGGGGCGACCTACTACCTAAGTGTCCTAATCTGAAATAACACTAATGGCCAAGATTACATCTATGGTTTCTTTCAGCTCTAAGTTCCTATGAAAACAAATGAAATCGGCCTAAGGAAGGAAGAGAAAAAAAAATCCAGATGTCATTAAATATCAAGTCACATGACATAATATATATTTTAGAAATACTAATAACAATGTCAATTGTAATTTACTGCGTACTTTCTATGGGTTAGACATTGTCCTACACCCTTTAAAATTCTTTCATGTATATAACTCCATGATATAGATACTATAATCCTCCCTGCTTTCCAGAAGAGAATACTGAGGCACAGAGAGGTTCTGGAAAGCCAAGATTTGACCCAAGTGCTTTAGATTCAGAGCTCATACTGCCTTTTGTGACAAATATATGAATCACGATAGAGCCATTCTAATACATCACTCAAAAATTCAGAAACACAAAAAGGTCAATATTGCTGTATTTCAGAAACCATTATATTTTCCTCAAAGAAAGCAGTAAGTACGGCCTGATTAAAACACAGCACGTCACAAAGGAAGTGCTATCTTTTCCCTCTTACTAAACGGAAGGAAGGGAGGGAGGGAGGAAGGGAGGGAGGGAAGGAAGGGAGGAAGCAAAAAAGTGTAAATTATTTTTGAATCTCTCTCATACAAATAATGATGTGGTTACTTCTGGTATGTATTTGCAAGATTCCATGTCACCACTTCTGAATCGTCTGAATAACCGGTTTTGCAGCAGACTTCATTTGGGTCAGGGAACGATTCTGGTCCCAACTAGAAAGGATCTCACATTCTCCTAAGCAAAAGACAGTGGCTTGATTGTTTCAGTTTTGAGTAAGCTGTACCTGAAGGGAAACAAGTGCTCACTTAGGTAAGGATTTTGCAAGCTGTAAATTAGAGATAATCATGCCAGTGACTGATTTCTTTTACTACTTTCTTCTTCTTAAACAATTCACCTGGGCCATGTGAATGACACATGGACAGTGTTTGATACATTTTTAAAAATAAAATCATTTTTTGAATGCTTCAAACTTTTCTAATATATATTTATAAATCCTTTTTAACAGGTGGGTTTAAACTATTCTTCCTTATTACCTAGAGTATTTTAACTAGAAATAAGTTTTTAAAACCTGTAATACTATTAAAATTCTATATCAGATATCCTACAGCTGGCGTTCCATGTCTAAATCTCCTAACAAGGCACACAGACTTCAGCAGAGCTTAAATTTTAAATAAAAGAACAAAGTGGACAGCCCTCTCATTTATGCCATGTATCAAGCACCACCCAACCAAAATCACTCAGGACAATGGCAACCTCTGTGGGCCTGGTGTGAGCTTTTCTCCTGGGAAGCAGTGTCCTCATCCACGGCTGGGACCTATTCAGATGGGTGCTCAGCTCCCACTGTACACAGAAGTCTTTTTGTTTTTTCTTTCTTTCAACCCTGATTTTGTCTTCTTTCCCCAGCCTTTTGTTACTTGGTTCTCTACTGTACAGAAATAGCTACAATTCTGAGTGAGAGCCATCAGGATTTTCTAGGAGGACAAAGGTAACGGTGACGTTATGACCTCGGCGCGTCTCCAGCTCCTTGCTTTTGCCCTGGCCTTATCTGGGGTCTTTGGAGTGCTCATGGCCACCCTGCTGCCCAACTGGAAGGTGAATGTGGACGCGGGCTCCAACATCATCACAGCCATCGTGCAGCTGCAAGGGCTGTGGATGGACTGCACGTGCTATAGCACCGGAATGTTCAGCTGCACTTTGAATTACTCCGTCCTAGCCCTCCCCACCCACGTGCAGGCCGCTCGGGCAGCCATGGTCCTGGCCTGTGTCCTGTCTGCTGTGGGGATGTGCACTGCCACAATCGGGATGAAATGCACTCGCTTAGGAGGGGACAGGGAAACCAAGAGTTACGCTTGTTTTGCTGGGGGAGTCTGCTTCATGTCTGCGGGGATCTCTGGTTTAATACCGACGGTGTGGTACACGAAGGAGATCATAGCAAACTTTGTGGATGTGACAGTCCCAGAAAGCAACAAACATGAACCCGGAGGAGCTGTCTACATTGGATTCATTTCGGCCATGCTGCTGTTTATCTCTGGCATGATTTTCTGTATAAAAAAGGATTCGGAGGCTTGGTTCCACCCATCCAAGCAGCAGCACGTCTCCACCACACAGCCAGAGGACCGTTCAGCATACAGCCTGAAGGATTATGTGTGAATAACTGTGTGATGCACATGACTTAGGTGCCTGCTGTGATTTCTGTCTTTATTTTAGATTAAATACAAGAATTGTGCTTACCTTTCTCTACAAAGAATGTAAAAATACTTAAAAAATGAAGTTGTTCGAAATGCCAACAACCTTCGTATACAATTATATCTGTTTTAGATGATTTTTCCATTATTGTTGTCATGTTTTATCTAAAGGTTTCTAATGGAAAGAGTTCTGATTATATTGATGAGGCAATGGAATGGATGGCTTTTTTTTTTTTTTTTTTTCTTTTTTAAGATAAATTGTTGATGCATCTTCCTAACTGGTACTTCACTGGATTTTATAAAAGAGCTCCACTGCCAAGTGTAAAAAGCACCTTGGGCTTCCCTGGTGGCGCAGTGGTTGAGGGTCCGCCTGCCGATGCAGGGGACACGGGTTCGTGCCCCGGTCCGGGAGGATCCCGCGGGCCGCGGAGCGGCTGGGCCCGTGAGCCATGGCGGCTGGGCCTGCGCATCCGGAGCCTGTGCTCCGCGACAGGAGAGGCCGCGGCAGTGAGAGGCCCGCATACCGCAAAAA